TGCATATCTGCGCCTAACAAATGTGGTACTACGCACGACTGAAATTTTACGTTTATAATCGTAGCAACAGACCTCAGATGAGCCCAGACACTCTGCGGCTCTTGTTTTGGTATGCCAGTATGGCCTTTTACTGCGACAACTGACAATTGTAACCTGGGTTATCGAATGTGCGGTAGGCTATGTTACAACGATATCATGAACATATCCATCGAATAAATATTGTATAGAATTGTTCATGAATATTTTTAAACACAACTGTTAGAATTCAGTCAGCAATGCTATATGCAGGCGCAAAATGACTAAGGACCCGCTCTTAGTGCCTATGTACAATAATAGAGTTATCTGCGCTTTCCTGCTCATATAAAATCACATTAATTTCCCACTTTACAGACTGCGAGGCAGCCTGAACGCATGCATTGTCACAACAAGATGTCGAGTGAAAAACGTGTGGGCGATGCATGTGTGAATACACTTCTATCATACTTGAAATGAGTTTTATGATACGTTTTGTTTAAATTCCCCAAAAGACGCGAACCTGATTAGCGTGTTATTTGCTAGCAATTTGGTTGGTATTATTATAAATCATTACAATCTATTGTATCAATGCCATGTTCTGAACAAAGATACAGTAAAAGAAATCTAATTGTAAGACCAGCAGTCCTATTTTAAGTGAAGCCTGTGCCCTATTAATGATTATTACGTCTGTTTTTCTAACCTGATTTATTTACTCCTACATGATACACTACACCGGTATTTTCTGAACACTTGCACACTGTACACACAGTGCATGTAAGTTACGTGAAAGCATGCTAGCACCACTGACATGCTATTATACACTTAAATGTAGTAGCTCAACCATTACTCCCCCATTAAACCATGCTTAAAAACTATTACGTAGCTATGATTCTGCATTTCACCCATTAAAATGCAACCTATATAATTCAGATATACTTATATGCCTATGACCACTATAGTCAGAAATCAAACAGTAATGGAATGGTAAACTCACATTGGCACGATCTGAAAAATGGTACTGAGCTTTCCGCATCAGTTTCTAAACGTTCTGTAAATTATCATCAAATACCAAAGTTCTGTAACCTTTCCGATGGCCAAACTTTCTTCGAAGCTGCTCTATTATATATACATACACACACACACACACACATGCTCTAGATTCCATGCCGAGTTGTGACAATTAGCAAATATTTACACGCACTTCTTAACAGGATCCACCACTTCACTTCCCTCACTCTATGACGTTGAATTTTGCGAGCTCCGACTTGAGGTTCTGCAGCTGTCTCTCCAGACGCGATGACTTGTTCGTGGCATACCAGCCTTCAACCTCCTGCAAATACGAAAGTATGACGTCGTGTGAAGCACGTTACGATAACGTGTGTCCTTCTCTCCCAACAATCCCATCCAAAAAATTTTCTGAGATGGCGGCCATTAGATTCGGGGACTCTGGAGTGTCTCCACAGCAAGGCTCTTAAGGCGATCGTAACTATTCTTAACCTTAATATTGCTGTATAAACCAGAGTGTGGATACCAAAATCTAGAACGGTCTTGGCAATTTCACTGGGCTCACTGTGTAGGTAACTGAATGTTACTCGACTGCAGACTGTACACTACTCTGATTGCACATACCTGCAGAATCCGGTCTTTCTTCAGCCTGAAGTGTGTCTTGATAACTTCCTCAAAGCCAGGACTAGGGTTGCTCATCTGATGGACCATTGCCCATTTAACTGTGTTTATTTGCACCTCTGTAAGAAGAAACACCCTAGATTATATGCCATGCAAAATGAAAATATATGTATGTAATGTATTTATAGAAAATTAATGAATTTAAGACGACTATTATCTGAATGATACACCAATAAAACTACACGTTGTTCAGAAATGTTTCATCACGTTCATTTTGTGAGCTCTGACAGACCCAAAACATCTTTCTGTGTCATCCAAAAAACCCTCACACATTATAGCGTTATATAGTCTAAGGGTTTTCATACCTTTTCTAACTTCTCATGTTATAAAAGTAATAATGTGATCACTCATACAGTGGAAGTTACATGAGTATAAATGATATTGGCTTGCTCATTACAAAAGTATACCGCGTTCTGGTTAAGCGCAGTGAAATTTAATAGCAGTGAAATTTTGTTACTCTGTTCCCATTGTAAAAACAACTCCATAGATTCATAGATACGATCCTCACTGAAAAGCTAGCCCATTGCGACATTACATTTCTCACTTAGTGTGGTACAGTTCCTGCCACACGTTAGTGTCGGTCTCACTGCAACCTCAGTAATACTGACCATGGTTGTATTCGGCGCTGTGTTTTCGGCCTGCCTCAGAACCAATCTCCTGCTCGTAGCCTGGCTCATTGAAGAACGGCTCAGCCACAAATATCATCGACTGGATTGAGATCAGAACCTGCAGCAGTAAATACTGGGTTTCTCTCCAGTCTTCAGTATAGTCAGTCGCGCACACCCACAGTGGCTTGCCCCGCATGCAGCGTTTCAGGTTTCAGCATACAGACCTCGGAGCCGGCGTAGCAAGAGTCGACATATAATCACACGGCGCGTGAATGTCTTAAAGTTATGCAATATCGAGCAAGCGCCTATATTCTTGTGAGGGTTGGATGTATAAACCACAGTCTAGTCTTCTTTCAAACAATGTGATCACGTTGACACTATCTATGGTGGAAAGCTAAAGGGGTGTGGACTATAACCATACAGCTTAATTTATGGCAATCAAGTATACAGCCAACATGATTACTGTTTTGGAAATCAGGTTTAGAAAAATAAGGAATCGCATGCGACTATACTCAAATCCTATGTGCCAAGTTTTACTAAATATTACCCCAACTTTACTACATATAGATAGTAGTTATTATTGTAACGAACGAAGTTCGTGGGGATACTATGGGTTTGGCATCGTCGCGCCGCCGCCGCCGCCCCCGCCGCCGCCGCAGAGATTTCTTTGTGAATGCTCTACCGGCTGCAGTTCTTCTCGGATCATCTTCAAATTTCGCATGAAGGTGCGTTATCGTAAAGCGAAGACGCCAATCGTTTTTGGTGTGGGCGGAGTCATCGTTGCCATGGTAACAACATTTTTTGTCGAAATATTCTAGAACCTGTAACTTCTGCACTTTTTATCCGATTGTCATGAAATTTATATTTGTATTAAAATTTATATTTAAAGGAACAGTAGCCTCTAGGTTCTAGGGTTATTTTCAGCTAATTTAGGTTATAATTGCGCTACATAAAAGGTTTCATGGTTCAATCACCATTAGAAATATTT